ATGTGTGTATGTAGAAGTGTAGATATACCGCGCCGTACGTACAATGGCCGTGCCACGGGGTCACGGTAATGGTGGCACACTTTTTCTGGCGAGCGACAATGGTGACAGCAGGAGTAGCAGCGACAGCGGCTTGACTTTGGCTTAGAGCACCGGCTTGGCTGACTCGGTTGGATCTGCCGAGTCATCTCGAGTTGCGAAAACTTTTGTTTTCACCTTCTTTCGAGAAGTCTGATAGCAGACTTCTCTTCGGCCCTCTTTCTGCCCCAAACTTCGTTGCGACCCTCACCCGGCTTCCGGTCTCGTCATGTTCATCGGTCCGTTTTTGTCCCTGGTCGAATTTTGTCGCGAAAGGCGTATGCGCAGTCTAAACTGGGACAGATGCGCGAGAATGGCTGCATCCAGTAGCGGCTCACCAGCCAGAACTGAGCTCTTCCAGTTACCCTAAAAAAGACTTCGAACGACGGGTTATGGATCAGCACTTATGTCCTTCGTTGAACCATATTTAAAGAACGAAACTTCAAGCTGGGTGAACACAGTCATTACAGCCCTGCGCTGTTCCGCTGTGGTCGCGGTTCTTCTATCTGTCTTTTTTTAGGGCTTCCAGGAGCGACGGAAGATAAAAAGAAACACTGGCTGGCTCCTGGAATACGAAGCAGCTGAGTTGCAATGTAGACACGACTGCGTCCAGATTCGGACTTTTTCTAAGCGTTCGCCGTTCCGCTCTCTGATAGTTTCATAACATTGTGTTGGCCGTCCTGCGTCTGCTTCTGCTGCTGTAAGTGTGTTTCAGCTTGAGTCACTGCTCCCACTACGCAATCGTCGTTATCAATTATAGTAGCAAAGGTAATATACACTCGTCTGTATGTAAAACGCCCTCATCGATATTATAAAGATATTTACTGTATTGAAATTATATTCGGTTATTGGTTATTCTTTATGCGAGTAATCGAAGTAGTCGTAAAAAAAAGTATCTTCTGCTGCGTCACATTTTGTATCGATGCCAAGTGTTCGGAACCAAAATGACCTATAGTATTGTGCGTCATATCTTTTAATAACCTGACGCGGCGTTTTCGACTTGTGTAGGCTGGCTGCTTTCACAGTAATAAGCTGACCGAGTTGCAGCAACTTGGCGGATCAGGTAGCGTTCAACGGGCAGCTAACAGGCTAGGGGGCCTAGTGAAGCGGAAGCTGGCCATTCATTAGATAACGCGAAGAAGAAACGGCCCAACACAAGAAGGCGCTGCTGCCCCACCAGCGATCGACGAAAGGCGGCTGTAAGAAATGGCTGACCACTAGGGACAAGAACATTAAGTTCACCGGCGAATCACAGAGCTATTGTTCTTGTTACCGAAATCAGCATAAGAAACAGGGGCAGCAGTAGAAGGAAGAACTCTGTATTGCCCTATAGTGGCAATGGCTCGCTCAGTTCAGCGCCACTTTGCCTAGTCAGGAACTTGTTTCTTCTAGTAATAACAGCCTTTGAACAACCGGATTCCTCTCCAAGAAAGGGTTGGCGAACTATAAAGCTCTAGGCCTACAAGCCAAAGCCGTAACCGGTAGTCTTCTTAACTTGACATTGTCAGCGGCAGTGGTATCTAGCAAACAAGGATGTCCATGGTTGACCTCAGTCGACAATGCAGATGACAATGTTTAGTACAGTCAAGATGATGTCCGAGCTTCCAAGAAATGGCTTCCATTCTCGGCTTCGCAGCCAATAAGAGCAGTCGCCGCTGCCACTGAAGCGGGTAGCGTGGCGATAAAGATTGGCGACAAAGGCTGTTCTACCATACTTTTGCTACTTCACCGCTAATCTTGCTGCCATTTCGACGACAACTGCTCGAAATATTGGCGTTTCCATTAGTGCGGTCAGCATATAGTTCTCCTAGTCGCTGAGTCTTCTCGGCAAGAGGTCGCATGGGTTGGTATGGATTAGACGGCGTCGCTCCCTTCATTTTCTTGCTTTACTCTGTTTCTTTTTCGCTTTTATCCTGGCGAAAACCAGTGAGTGAAACCTCAGTAGTCACGCTGTCTTCTCTGTGTTCCCTTCTGCAATCATGACCTCCGCGCCGCCTGTCATCCTCAGATATGGCAGACAGAAGCAAGCCACTGCGCGGGAAAACCTTTTCCGAAAGTGACATGCCGTTCGGGGCCAATGCAGCAATAACAACACAGCGGTAGTGGTGTTGACTGCAGAGTAGCAGACTTGCGATTGCTGGATACCACTAGCGAGATCTGGGGCTCTCACGCTTCGTAAAAGTACAACTAAAGCTTGTTGGAGCGAAGGTCCGGAATCGGAAGCTAGCTGGCTGGCCTGCAAGGAGCTGCTGAAGCACATAGACAGTTAAACAGGCGAATAGAGGCGACACGCACAATATAAAAGCTTTGTAGCTCTTTTGTGGCGGACAACGAGGCCGCTACTTTCATGTTACATCTTACTAACCAGTGATCTGACAATCAGCCAGCCGATCGGACGGAATGCCCTATTCGCCTGTTCCCTACTTGCGAAGGCTAATAGGAACGAAAGGCGAGAGAAGAAGCGCCGACGTGGCTGTGGTTGTGCTACGTTGTGCTATCCTGTACTGTCATAAAGACACAAAGATCAAGTCCAACAACGATAGAGACCGGAACTACAGTGGGTGGTTAGGGAAGTAGTCGTGGTAATGACGGGAATAGTAATAGTCATGGTTGTAGCCATAAAGGGTCCCGCAATAGTAGCAGATCTTTCCTTGCTAACGGGAGCGAGTGCCGGGTAGTTCACCGAGCGGTTAGGAAGGGACACAAAAAGCCGATTCGACACAGCCATCACCCACCCTGCAGCTACGATAGCAAATCGACGCCTCTAAGCGATGAGTAATTCTTGCTTAGTGAGCACTATTCTCCGGCCAAAGGCACCACCTTCTTTTTAGCTCAGACAACGGCTTGCATCCATCGTTCGATGATAAGCTAACTCGTCCAGGCTGCCTACCAACTTTGAGTCCTACTATTCTCTCATCGTCAAAGAAAAGTGGGCAATGAGCCCCAAGATTGTTATTTTGTCGGCGATTCGGCTGGCTCCGATCTCGCCGGCCAAGACTAAACAATAACGGTAGACCGAGATTCTTTCGGAAGTCGAGAGAAGAGAGTTATTCGTTAAAGAGTAACCCAACAGAAAAGAACAGAAAAAATACAAGCGTTTGGACAAAAGCGTTAGGCCTACTTGATCGGAGCTTATCACCTCCGTTCGCTGTCTTCTCGCACGCCGTTATCGTCGTTCCATCTCTTTTATATATACAATAAATGAAAGCTACCGTTTCTGTTAAGTTAAAAGATGAAAATAACCGTTGTCACCGAGGTTGGTCTGCCCCAGTCGCAAAGCTTAATTTTCTTTGCGTGTTCAGTTACTTCACATGCTTATGCTCTGTGTATGCTCATGCGGATTGCAGGTCAAAAAGTTATTCTTTCACTATTTTAGTATCAGCCAAAAATCTATGCGTAGTGGCAGAAGGCCTAATCTCTCTGTATTTGTTGCAAAAGTTGAACATTTGAATCAAATAAGAAATACTTTAAAACACTGTGCCTGGACAAAACACGAGGGATATAGACAAGCTATATAGGATGTTAGCGGTGGTCAGCGCCAATCTGCAAAGTATTACCGTGTGCGACGAATTGATATTTTAGCCTAGCAGTAAAAATCAGCGCCAGGCGTTCTTACCAGTTCTGGATGTAAAATTTACTATGGTTACTTCTATGGCGTGACGATGGATATGGGTGACGCACGTGTGTTAGAATCAAGGGCATGGCTTGCTTCACTAGCTAGTAACTCAGCGTGCTAGGAGCGTCCAAGCGGATGATAGTAAACATTGTATCTATCTATTACCTTGAGACATGCCCTGCGAAGACCATATTTAGTTTTGGTAATTTTCGATGCAATAATCTGCCTCAAACACCATCTGCAACTTCTATCTATGTGCCATTATTCGAACTGCAAAAATCGTCTGATAGGTAGCATACTCCTGCATAAAAGTAGTGGATATAAGCAGTAATAAGGTGAGTATTGGACGTCCTTTAATCGTTTAATATCCTTCCTCTTTGGCGGGGAAGTGGCTTTACGAAAAGAGAGGTTCCCGACGTCAGGCAAACCAATCAAAGACCGAAAAGGCCTACAATAAACACGACATTGAAGACTTGCTGACATTGCCTGGACTCCGTCAAAGACCAATCTATATCGCCCCAACGGTGTTGCTTGCCTTATTCAGTGTTCAGAGTGTCAAATACTTTGTTAAAGGGTACTGAACCCTATATTTGTTGGCATTGAGGCCTAAACACAATATCCGAAGTTACTCAGCGTAAGCTAAGAACCCGACTCGCCTTGAAGGGAGTTCGTCCGAAGAAAGCCGCCCGAGTGCCCATCCTCTTTGAATATTTGCAAATGGACCAGGAACGAACGATCGAGTTCACCTCTGCAAAGGTGAAATCCCTAATAAACTCGGATTTTGTCCCTTGTGTCCTAAGGCATCATTGTACCTACGGCAGGATGATAGCCTAGTGGAATTTCAGCGGATCAGCATAAGTTCGCAAGCCATTAATAATAGCAAATGGTATACATGTAAATGCTTGTAACAGCGGAACTTATATGGCAGTTCTATCACGAAGCACGATCAACAGAAAAAGGTTTTAAGATTCAAAGTTACACACGATGCACTATGTGGAACGCATCTTGATCAGCTTTTGAACCCGTTTGAGCGATGGGCTGAGTGGACGCGGTTAACATGCGTGTCGTGTTCTACATACAACATCCATGCATTGATGTCAAAGAATAGACGTTTTTTTTTTGATAGGCGTTGATAGTTTTCAGATGTGCGAGGCGTGGGCGTATTACAGTACACTGTTTAGAAAATTAAGGCATTGCAGTACCTAGTATATAACGTGGTGAAGAAATAACGGTGACTCTCTGACTGCTACCTGGACATGCCTTGGGTGAATTGGTAACTTCTTTTAACAGACGCAGGAAAAGTAATGAGCATAGGAGACTTGACGTGTGAGATGTCGAGTTTTTTGCTCTTGGATCAACTGGGCCGAAGAACCGTAAAGAGCAATGCGATGAATAAGCTTCCTGTAGTGCAAACGAGCAAAATCGCATATTAATATGATTTTATTCATAATAAACTGATGGAACATATTGGAGGAAGTATTTATAGGGCGTATATATACATTCGTACCACTGTTTACGTGTGAAAAAAAGCAAGGTTTCTGGGGGTAACTTCTCGGGAATATATTCGCGTACAAACCATATGTAACTACTATAGATCATTTGCATAACATATATGGACGATAATGCGAGAAGGTCTTCCTTATACATACACATCACGTATGCATTTGTATCCACGCGCTATGATATGCTTTCTCCTTTTTAAAACGATGTGGTTGAGTGCGCGATCTTGCCACCCACGTTCACTGATATGTGACCTTGAGCAGGCCATCTTTCGTCCTTATTCCTATGAACAAATCCCAAGCCGTTATAAGCAACCGCTACTGTCAGACGATAAATCTATGCGTACATTCTATCTGTGTAGTGTCTCGCAATCCGGCCTTTGGAAAATGGTTTCCAAGCAACAGCAATGAAAAGCAGAACCAGTAGAATCGGACGGTCAATAAATACGTATAATAAAATTACAGGAGGAACATTGGCATACAAGAATAATAATAATAATAACTCTTTTACTAAGTTTTACTAAGTTACCGACAATGGTAATAGGAAATCGTTTGGAATAATGGAATAGTTGTAATGAAGCTCTTAGGTATCGACCACTAGCATTCTGAGGCATCTATACATAATATTCGATAGGAATCCATATGGGAAAAAAATATACATAGCAATGGACAAAATATGAACATATTTCGGATATGAATGTATATTATTACCAACAAAACAATTTTATTTTCTGTAGGACTAGGGGCAGTGAGGAAAACATTCCTGCCTATGCTATAAGCGCTTGATTCAATCAAATTACTGTAGTTGGTCCCAATATGAAGAAAGCCACGGTAAGGAACGGCGATTATTTCAGTTTGAAAATCTGCTATCAAACTGCAAAATGAACAAGTTACTGCCCAATAACAGAGTTGTTGTTACTATAGTTGTACATAAAAGGTTGCATACCTATATCTGAACGGCTGGGAAAATTTAGCCGCTCCGCATATTCGTTGCACCTTATCACCTCATCAGACAACAGGCCGCACGCATCCTCCAAACCATGCACGCATACGCGGGGCCTGTTTTCCAATACCCCCGCTCCTCTGATATGATCTTTTTTCGGCTGTTGCCGTCACCGCTTTTGCCGTCGCTACCACGTTAGATCCCTGTGCACTTTTCTTGCAAGAACTGCCATCCAGTAATGGCTATATGGAGTACCTATACCACTCATAGCCAACCCACATAGCCGTCACTACTGGCACACCATTGCCGCGCGTCCTCTGTTAAGACCGAACGAGTGTGAAAGCAGCTGTGGCGCGCTCGTTCTAACAACTAAGCTGTACCATCGGCGCTTCTGCGGCGTCTGTCTCCACTACTGCTGCTACCAGCGCCGCTCGGAGGTGTACGGTAGCGGAAACAACAGCAGGCGGTAGCAAACGGCGGCGACGTGCAGACAGATCATCAAATTTGGAGCAGGGCTCCCTTCTCGTTCATTCTCATCCAAGGGACCTTGCTCATTCTGCTACATCCAACTTTTTTACTCCCGTATGGGTTCTACGCCTCCGGTTCGTTCCGTACTGCTGGCATCACTACGGTTTCTGTGAAACGGTACAGTCGGGCTTGCTGTTGAAGATGCTTCTGGTAGTGAAATATATGGAACAGGCGGCCCTTGAAGGCGTGGTGGAACGAAATACAACCCTAGCCCTACGCCCTCGATACAGCCTATTCACCGCCTTCCTTCTTCTAGTTGGAGCTATAGGCAACGGCAGCTCTTTGTATAAGAGAAAAGAACTATGCAAGAGGAACAGAGAAAGAGGCCCGAGTGGGAAGCTTCTACCTTCAGTTCTTTCCCGACTCTTCGCCCCTTGTTAGCTCTCAGCTTAGCACGTAGCGAGACTCTTGCCAGCAGTTTCTGCCTCTGCTTAAGTTTGCTTATCAGAGAGCGGCGGCCGGAATAGGGGCTCACTGTGGCGGCGGCGCGCGCAAGTCAAGCGAAGGAGCAGGCAAAATGGCATGAAGTCGTCAACGACACCGATGACGACAACATCGAAGGAAAAAAAGAAGAGGTGAATGCGCAAACGAGAAGAACAACGGTTGGTTGGATCGTTCACGGACGGGTACTAGGCCGCTCGGTAGGTCGACGTGATTCTTCTGCTTTAGCCCTTAAAGAATGGCCCGTCGTGTTTCCCCTATATTCTTGAGCACAACGTACAAAGCGATCCGACCGACAATCCGCTAGCTATCTTCATATAAAGGAGAAGGACTGGTTGACGCTGGGCGCGGCACCGAAGACAGACACGCCGAGTAAAAGATGTAGAACAGCCACGGTTATGCCAGAAACAGCAGTATGAATAACATATACACGCTCTTATAAAGAGCAGCAACAGGCTATTAAGTGCAGATATGGTGGCCTCATGATAGCCGGATAGCACTTCGTTTCTTGTTCGCTTAGTTAAAGGCGTTAGCATATGGAAGGGAAAGGCGTCCTTAGACTCGGTTGGCTTCTTTTCGCGGTTCCCGGCTTCAAGGAGGCATTCAAGGCCTTAGTCATGGACATGGCGGTTACATGTGTATGTGTATCGTCTGTGCAATACCATGTTGTACCTCCGTCTAGCTTACACGACCGTAGATGAACAGAGTATTTACATCGGTTGCTAATGTGATGCGCTGTGTACCTAATAATTTACTAATATTTGTGGTAAAGACCATATCTCGACGTATTTATGTGAATCGCGCTCATAAAGACTAAGCAGCACCTTATTATCAGATTAGCTATGTTCTAACCATTCCTTTCATCCGTACTGTGTTCGGATATCTCCTTTGGTCTCGTGATGCCCCTATCTTAGTTGTACGTTTATTTACTGCATGCGCATTGTACTTGTTGAAGAAGCTGTCTAATGCATAGACACATTGGTTACTAGTGCTTTTCCGCGCCCTGCGCCTTCATTCGCTCTTTATCTCCTCTGCAAGTCTGCCCGAAGCCTGTTAGCAGGTTTCTTGTTTTTCAGAAGGACACGCGAAATGAGCAGGAATACGTGTTCGCTGTTGCTGCTTGAGATAAGCGACACAGAGGCCGTTGCTGCAGCTAGCAAACGCAGCCATCCCCCCCACAACGCGTGGGGTCACCAACTGTGTCCAGCCTCACAAACCACTACCATGCTAACTTTTATTTTAAACCCGATTTGGGTGCAATACTAAATCCGTACTACTTCACGATCGTTAAGAGACTGATTGTGATGTTATTAGAACAGCGAGAACAAGTAAGATATTATCATTATTGCAACTGTTATAGCAGTTTGGACGCCTTTTGTCTTGCGCATACATCATATCCAACATTTATGATACACGAATGTATGTTTCACATTTTGTAAACCTATATTCAACAGACAGGAACAGGCATGGAGAAGCGTACACTTGTCAGTTGCCACTTGCGACTAAAACTCAAACGAGGCTGTTATATGTGAGGGGCATATGAAGTAGATAAGAAACGTAGAGGTTTCTTTGACCAAATATACTTGATACACGTGTTACGTACAACCTCAAGTGATACAATTCCGTTAAAAAAATATTGTACTTTATTTTAAATTTATTTTCCATAATGTAGTCAGCAACTACTTCGTTGAAGTCCGGCATTATTTCGAATGCCAGCACTTGCTTTAGCAACTAGTACTTTCGGCTCATTGAATGCTTACGACTCCGTAAATGCTCACACAGCCGCTGGCTGTACAATTCGAGTTCTCACATCGTTACAAGCACCTGCATTTTTCTGCCAGAGGAGGAGAAGCGCAGGTTGTATTGCCTAATTTAGGCTACTTTATTCTAGCCTGATCAGACAGTGTGCCTTACTGTACAACTAGCCCTTTGAAATCGTGAGTACAGTGGCTGATTTAGTGACGATGAGCGGAGTGGGGGTCGAGTGCCAGTAGGTGTGATACCGAAGCAGGACACCAGACTACTTGCCCACAAAAGACGAACGGAATGTATTAGACTGGCACTGCTGCGAATTACCGTAATCTGGCCAAAGGAAAGACGAACGATCTGCAGGGCGGCCAATGAAAAAACAACGTGCTTGCGTTGAGTGTTACTCTAGCAGGACCCAGAGAAAAGGCTTCTTGCACACTGCATCAAATATAAGAGAATCTCTTACCACGTAACGACTTACACGAGGAGAGATCATGTGCAAAGAGTGGAAAAAGGACGGACTGGATTGTATGCTCCGATGAATTTAATTATTTTGAAGTAAGGGGTTCGCCGGTCTTGTTCGGTCTATACGTACAGAGTGTTGCTTTATTCTTCAGAGTATGGTCCGGTCTCTTCTTCATTTCAGCGCAATTTCCACGAAGCAGTACTAGTGGCCCTTTAGTATACCGCTACTTCTTCATAAAATGAGAAACACTACACACTACCATGACAATACAGGAAAGGAGAGCGAGAGAGGGATAGAATGGGGGCAAACAGAATCGATACAGAAGGTTGGAAAAAAACATTGTCGACTCTGTGAACATCTTTATGAGGTTTCCCTTCCAGCCTCTACCTTTTGAAGAATCGATTTCCAGCCAAGTACCGGCTGCATATGTTATACACTGAAACAACGTAAACATCCATCAAAAGTAAAATTTCTTGTAGTTGAAAAGAATTACCTATGCTTATACCGCCATCAGAAATATCAATGTATACACTACAATACAGGAATAACTTTACTCAAGAGAGTAGATTATGCAGCATGTAATCGAGAGTTGTGCCAGGTTTGTTTTAGCTTTACAACCTGTAATGCATCTATTCAACATAACGTCTTATATCTGGATTTTGAATTACTATAAAAACAAATCGCCCTCATATGTAGCGCTATAACTTTGTTACACGCCAGCACAAATCCACTGGCTGGATTTTGATCTCTACAAGAATAGATTTTTGTCGACTTAAATGAACTATCATATTCCTGCGTTCTCCCAAAATTTAATTTAAATGCTATGGTTAATGTGGTTAAAAGAAGGTTTTTTCGTGCTCTACGCTTAATATTGCAGTTAGGGATTCCCTCAGACAAGTATAGTTTACCACCTTACTTATAAACTTATACCACCTCAATGAAGATACACGCTGCGACTGCACTACGAGGCTAGCGCGGCTACTGATCCAACCCACCGTGAAAGGACCAGGAGAAGATGCAAAAACGACATGGATAAACAGATCGATACAGCGTTCCTACTGATCGTAGCAATAGTTTTCTAGGACGGAAACACGTGACGGAACAAGCGAACGAAACAGAAAATGACAAGAAAGCTAGCAAGAAACGCGTCAGTATTTCCTAACCATGGATGAGATCGAACAGTGGGTTATACTGAGCGGCCAACTAGAAGCTGATAGGTCGCCTGCTTCATTGACAAACCAACGCTCACATTAGAACAGAAGGGCCGCCAGTCTATTTGATGGCAGAAGTGGCCTTTCACCACTGCAGAAGTGTCATCCCCGTCCAGCTCAGCTCAGCCAAATTCGTCCATCTGCCGTTAAGATACCGAAAGGATATCAGCTGCCATTGGGCAAAACAGAAAGACCAAGAACGGTACAGGTTTGGGTAGGTCGCCTAGAGACAGATGAACACTAGATGCTACGTCGTCAGGATGGAACACAAGACCTTCGATATTGAACGGAGCGAAATTGGGAATCGATTTGATGTGCGGCTGCCGTTGATGGTGGCAGGGTTTCCAGCCGGTTTTGCCAGCAGCATGTCCTAAACCTACCGCGGACGTTTAAAACGAACGGGTACCGTTACAGCAACCTCAACTCGCAGAGAATTCCTTTTTGTTAGCCACTGCCGTAAAGGCTAGAATAGGGATGGCCCATGAAGATGACCTAACCGGTAGACGAGAGAAAGCGGCCGAAACCGAAACCGGTGAGGACATTATTCTCATTATACTAAGAGGATGTGCAGGGTTGGAGTGCGCGAGACGAAGATCGAGTCAGTCCGAATAAGTGTGTAAGTGAAAGAGCTTATGGAGTGTGAGCAGTTGGAAGCGGGCAAAAACGACAAGACAATATGGGGACGGCAGAGAGAAGATCGAAGGATGAAGAAGAGGAAAAATCAAAGTAGTGACACGGAAAAGTTGCAGAAATTTCTTCAAGGATCACGCCTCAAAAAGAAGAGTGACGGCCGACGCAGAAAAGGAGAAGGGTTCAAGGACAATGAGGTCCAGAATAAAGGTAAGGTTTAGATGAAAGTGGAACTTTCGTCTTTATACTTCAGAGCGATGGATGCTTGAGACGAACACGGATGAACCTGTTATAGGTTTAAAGGTAGAAGGTGCCGTAACAGGCCAAATATCCTAGTCGAAAATATGGACACAACATAGATAACTTCCCCAATTGCCTCTTTATAATGAAGCCAATTTGGCCTTTGGTAAGTATTTGAGATACAGAAACTACATTGCTTGGGAAAATTAGTGAATTATTTTTCTAATTGTTTTTAGATGAGATGAAATAATTTACATTAGAAGCTTCTCTCTGAAGTTGCACTTTACTTCAAGGAGTCATTTCAGTCATATGTTAATTTCATTTTCCAGAATATTTCCAAAGAACTATCCATTGCTTACTCAACTATTCCAACTATGATTTTCTAGGCAAAAGCCAACGAAAACAGTTGTAGTGTGAGTATATGCTCATCCTTGCAATTTATCACCATTAATCCGTGCAGCTAAGTTTGCTTGAACTGAACAGACGGGTAGTCGTTGTATGATTCTGTTTATCCCTTTGTCGTGGAAACTAAGCTCCAAGGGACATGTGATTCTGTCACACTTCGTACATGTTGCTGCAAATTCAATAGCTGACGTGGGTGCTGTTTCTTACCGTACACTGTTAGATCCCGCATCTGAGTGTTTCAGTAGCGGCTCGAATAAATGGTACGAAAATTTGGGTGGTTGAGGTTCAACCTTCAGCCATTTTGGCTCGTCCTAAGCAATCACATGAGAGCAGAAGCCAAATGTCGAAAAAACGAGATCATTATCATGAAGAGTTACGTGCGTGCTCCATACACTGTGTTCTGTTCATTACAGCGACCGACGGGAGATGGACTGTGGCTGTTAGCGACGGGAGTTCTTCTTGTCGCTCATTCGTCTCGCTGTCACTTTTGCTTCACTTTAACTTTGCGCCCTGCGATCTTCGATTGCAACGCACACGCCTTTCGACATTACCGAACGACACTGGGTTCTTCCCGCCCGTCGACCGATTGGCCTGATCCTTATAGACCCTTTCATACCTTTTTCTCGCTCGTGCTGTCGATCTCTCCGCGCATTTATTTACTCCGCTATGTCTTTCATTCGTTCCCTGTCTTTCCCCGTTTCACGATCGCTACCCTTTACTACGTGTTTTCTTTCGAAAAGTCACAGGCCGTTGCTATTGATTTAAAAAAAGGAAGGAAGAAATGGGAACTCCAGCAGAAGCACCAGTGGCAGAAGCGCCTGCTACTATTACTTTTTGAAAAACGCAACTCCTCTCTTCCAAAACATTTCCCATATATCTACGAATCCGGTGCGTTTCAAACTAATGTCAGCTGCTCATCCGACCTCTTGCTCGCTTCCTTTAGAATTGCTCGATTCTCCACTGGCAAACACGCT